TTCCATAAGGTGAGATATCAGATAAACACATTCTCGTAGCTTGTAGGGTATCAGATTTGTTTTTCAGAAAATATATCATAATAAGTCCTGAATATTCGCTAACAAAGTTTAATACATATGAATAGGTGCCAATACCCATTGGTGAAATTGGACCCTCTAAGTCACAATAAACTCTGAACAAGATGTCTGCTGATTTTGGGATTTGATATATTTCGTCATTTTCCCTTGAATACATATGTCCCAATGTTGTAAGCCCTTTGGAGATGTAATTTTCATTCCAGTGACGTGTTCTTGTAATCTTTTAACATCCGAATTATTACAGTGGCCTAATATTTTATGCCAAGTCCTTAAGACGTGGGTGGCTGTTTTTACAGATTTAATACTTTTGAAATAATAAAACGTCCATTTTGTTGTATATTAAATTCAGTTCCGTCTGGATATATTACTTTGAATTGTCTCGGTGAAAATTAACTTTAACACCAATTTTAACTGCAGACTGAACCGAAAAATATTTTGTTTAAATTTAGGAATATATAGCCCTTTTAATAAACATTTACAAATATTTCCTTTAGTATCTCGTAAATAAATACAGGCATCGCCTCTTTTAAAAACTAAATTATTAGCTCTGGTACCGTCAGCTAACTCAATAAAGTAGGAATCTGGCTCGAAGTTGGGATCAAAATGAATAAATTTTGTTTCATCTGTAATTACATGATTTGTCGCGCCCGTGTCGACTAGGTAAGAATTATAACTATTGTGTATAGTATCCAACCCAAACAGAAAAGCATATGTTCGCTCATTCGAACAAGCTTTTACATTTTTATAAAAATCACTCTTTGTATAAAATTGACATTTCGCACGTACATGCCCGGCTCTTCCACAACGAAAGCAGATGATATTTGATTTTCTATTATTATTGTTCCTGTTGTTATTATTATTATTGTAATAGTTGTTTTTAAGCCCCTTGTTTTTAATATCATAATTTCTAGTCTGGTAGGTTTGAGGGACTGGTTTTCTGAATTTTTTAAATGACGTTCTCAGTTGCTTTAAGTTATTGCCTTGATTTTGGGGGTACACATTTTTCAGTTTCTTCATAACTACGTAACGCAATTTTAAACTCAGTGAAACTTAATTGTTTATCTTTTTGATTTATGACTGTCGTGAATGGTTTGAATGTCGGTGGTAAACACTTTAAGACCATGGCTATTAGCAGCCCACCTGAGATAGTCTCACCTGCCATTTTTAAGGCATTTGTGACATTCTCAGCTCGTATAATATAATCTGTTAGAGATTTATTTTCTCGTCTCTAACGTGGTTAGTTCAGTATATAAACAATAATTTTAAGCTTACCTTTTGACAAGTAGTGTTCACGAAAAATTTGTAGAGCTTGCCGTCCATTGTCCTTGGCTTCTCTCATTATCAAAGACAAACTACTGTCATCCAGGAATGGTATTAATTCAGCGAAAACGTTTGCATTTTCTTTCTATAAAATTATCATCCCCCTTTTGGTCCTCTTCGCAAAGGATGATGTCATGGAGTTTTTTGTATTCTGAGGTAGCCTAAGAATTTCGTATCCCAAAATTCATATCTCGATTCATTCCGTCAAAGTCTTAAGTCTAGGATTAGGCTCATAACCACTGATTTCATGCAAACGGTCGTCTCTAGATAGAGCTGAAAGGTGAATAGTGAATAAAGCTAGTTACACCGGGCGGTGGCTGGGGGATCCCGGTAAGAGATAGCTAGGGCGTCCCTGGATCGTTTGAATAGCTGGAACTGGACATTGGGCCAGGTAAAACAAAATAAGCCGCCTAAGATGTCTTCCGAAGATTGAATATTCTACGTCGCAGATTGCGCAGGGAAGAGGTCCATTGGTGGCTATCGTTTCATTCGTGAAGTCAAGCACCCGGAGGGGCGCTAGCCGGGCCACTGATGGCATGTGCGAGGGCGTTTATCCCATTTCAATTGCCGGTTTACCTGCGGAGCCTGGTTCCGTGAGTTAGATTTTCTTTTGCAGCAATTTTTTCATTTTCCTCGGCTTTTCTTTGACGTTTTTGACTTTCGCCGTGCATTCGTTTAGCCGCGAGGGATTTCTTTTCACGGAGGGCAGAAGTTTCTTTTCTATTATTAAAGAAGGTGAACGGTTGAGGCAATTTCAGATTTAGTTTGGATGTTTTCCTTTTATTTATTGTACATTTTATTCGCCATCTTTGTTCCGATTTTCTTAGTAGTGTTTTGTTTTGGTTTCGGTCGGGTCCATCCCCAATCGGATTACAAGGGTCGTGATCCCTCTGTTGAAAAGGGCAAAGGTGGTGGGGGAACAAAGATGATCGTAGGCCTAAAACATCTGCTAAACACAGAGTTAAAAGAATTACTCGGCAAGATCCTGCAGGAGCGTTTGAAATTCATTAGTTGCCGAGTCTCTGTTGGGGCCTGAGCAGACTTGATTCTGTGAGGGGCCGAACATTTCAGAGCAACCTCCGACCTGATCCGCACGATCATAGAGGGTGTAAAAGACGACGAAGAAGCCGCGCTGATCAATTTGGATCAGTCAAGGCATTTGATAGGGTTGACCATCGCTACCTTGGGACTGTCCTGCAGGCCGTTGGATTCCAAACAACTGGCTGCCGCTGGATTAGCATCCTGTAACGCTACCCCAGTGCTGACTGGTATATGGTGAACGGAAGGTTGTCGGACGCGTTCGTGCTGTCTAGGTCGGTTCGTCAGGGTTGATCCACTGTCGCCTCTCAAAATATGCTTTGGCGTTGGAGAAGTGGCGCCGGCTGAAGGACGAGACCGGCAGTCCGGCCCTACGTGGAATTGCCGTGCCTGGAGGGTCTCGAGCCAGGGTTTCCGCGTACGCCGATGACGTATCTGCTTTCGTGTCGTCGGGATAAGCGGACATTGAGGTGGTACAGAAGTAGGCCATTTTTTGATCGGTACGAGAAGGTGACAGGGGCCAAGATAAACCGCGACAAGTCGTCCGGCTTGCGGCCTGGTGCCTGGAAGGGGGTCGATCTTCCGGGCCGCTTCGGTTGGACGGACGGTCCTGTCCGCATTCTTGATGTGGTTTGGGCCCGACCTCCAGCTGGAGAAGAATTGGTCTCTGAAACGGAAGGTCGATTCTCCCGGTCAGACTTGGAATCGACAGGCGGTTGTCCGTGAAGGGCAGGGCGGAGGTGTGTTACATACATTTTCCCCCTGATTCTTTATCGGTTGTCCATACTTCCTCTCTAAGGACCGCAGGAAGGTGCTCGAGCGATCGCTATCATCCATTTTATGGAGGGGACGCGTGAACAGGGTCGATGGGGCTGGGAATGCCGCACCTTATGAGTCACATCCGTGCCTCAAAGGTTGGCTTTCCTACGCCGCGCATTGACTAGAGGAGATCCGATTCTGGAGGGGATTGTTAGGGACGCCTTCCCTAGCCTTACTATCAGTCCCCCATCTCGCGGGCTGAGCGCCGTTGTTCCGCCCTAGGGGTGAGTCGGATTTCATCCGCGAGTGTCGGTCCCCCTTGAAGGCCATTCCCCGGTCCAGTGACCTTTCACGGCCTAGGAAGGTCTTCTATCGTGGTTTAGTGGAGGGTCGCGCGAAGGATAAACTACGTGATATACGCTCGGCTTGTCGGAGGAGGAGTATCGCTCCTATTGGTCTTGACAGGCGCCAGCGGAGGGATTACCTCAGTAACCCTGAGTTTTCGCTTACCTGGCGATTCGCTCGGAATCGGCTGCCTCTCAATGACCCAAGGCTTTCATATGGGGTTTGGCGGATTTGCCAGACTGGGAACGGTGGAAAGCATCTTAGAAGAAACGGGTCCACGCCTTCTACCATTGCCCACGGGTCCGCCCCTTATGGGACCATGTCGGCGAGCTGATGGCTAGTCTCGCTCCCGAAGAAGCTATTTGTCCATTGATCGCGCATACGCGTGTGACAATATGTCTCCCCCCGTATTCCGGGAGAAAAAATGGTGTTTCTGATGCTGATGGACGCTCGAATGGTGATTTGACGACGCGAATGGAGGGATGACGCGGGCAACCGTCTTTCTTATCAGCATCTAATCCGATTCTTTGAGCATCAGCTCAAGATGAAGATTAGATCTGATAGAAAACGATTGCATTCGACAGTCTTCAGCGAAAGGTGGGTAAAAAGGCAAGCCTGGTTCGTGTGACCGGGGCTAGCCTTGATTTTCTTTTTAGGTCAACCTATAGCACATCGGGGTGGCTTCCTGTGGAACCCACCCCTTGGTTAGGTTAGACAAGCTTCAGTGTACCTAGTTAATGTGAGTAAGTGTCGTTCCTGGCCTGTATCTCGGCTGCTCTTTGGTTATGGTTCAAGTCGAGATTCCCAATCTCCCCAGTTTGTTTTGGTCCCCCTTTTTATCTCGACTGGGTCAGCATTATATTATCCATTCCGGCATAATATTTTATCCTCTTTTCCCACTCCCTTAGCGAGAGTGCTTCTTGATTTTGTCCTCTGGGCAGAATACAGCGGCCTCTCTGTTTTGAGGGTTGGACGGTCCCTACTAACATATGTTATGTTTAGTTTGTATTTTGTGTATATTTTTAGTTTTTTTGGGGTTCATCTCCCCTCTCATTCTTATCATTATTAGAATTTTATGTATAGTATATGTATCATCATCAAATTTTTATGGATTGGGGCGCGTTTTGGTAGGTCCCCCTTGTGAGAATCTGGTATTATGGTGCATGAAGGATTGAGTGGTGATGGACAAGTTCTTGTGGTGAATGAGTTAATTGTAAGGTATGAATGGGTCGTGAATCTGATTAGCTAGGTATAAGATAGTGAAGACCAGCCTCTACCCCTCCCCTTTTCGGCCTTGTGCCACAATTCACTGTAATTTACAGTAATAAATACCCTAGTTACATATAATATACCGACTAGTTATAAGTGTTATACCCCCGTGTTGGTTGATTGTATATTAGTGTGTGTGGTACGTCAGTGAACGGTTTTTTTTTCCAGTTACAAGAAAAATAAGTTGGAGATTATTGCTTGATTTCTTGAACTGTTTCTTGGGGTGGGAATACCCTCCCGCTATGGCGGAAGGGACCAGAAAAATTTCCCTTGCTTTTTTCCCTCCTCACCTCAACGGCACCAGGACTTTTTCGTAAAAGGACCACAGTACTATGAGAGTCTTTGCGAACAGCTCAAAAAGAATTTTCAAAAAAAGATGAACTCGTTCCAATGTATATTCAAAAATAATTTAAAGAAAAAAAAAAGGACCATCTATTTGTTTTTGACGGTCGATATAAAGACCAAAAGTTTTTCCCGTTAACAGGGAACCCATGGAAAAAGTATAAAGGCATTGAATATCGGGTAGAAAAGGTTTTGGACTATTAGGTCAAATGCCTGCTGGGACATTCTTTTACCAACGGAGGAAGCGGCGAACAATCCCTGGCCGGATGCACTCTGACAACAAAAGACATTGAAGATTTAAAACCGAGTATTTGGGCACAAGGAAGAATAGGATCATATTACATGATGTGCCATCATGTACAAAACAGAAGACCAGGTGGGTGCTTTTTTTTCAAACTACGGTCATGTGGAGGGGGTGTCGGCGATTAGAAGCAAGGCGGGGATTGCCACCGGCGATATGGAGGTCGTGGTGACGCTGAACCGCCAAGGCTTCAAAGACATCAAACGGAATTTTGGGCGAGAAAAAGGAGAATTTTGTGGTAGTGGAAGGTTGCCGGCCCTGTTGTTGGGTGAATGCAGGAGAGGCTGGACATTTGGCAAGGATGTGGACGAAGAAGCAGGCACCGGTAGAAAAATAGTGTGGTGCCAAGAAGGGGAAAGAAGACGGGTGACAGCAAGGAGTGGACGGAGGTGGAGGAAGAAAGACAAGGGACAACCTCACATCCCAAGCAGCAACAACGTCTGCAGGAATAAACGGAGGTGGTGGTGGTGGAAAACAAGGCAGAGGTGGCTTTGGAAGAAGGGAGCAACGGCAGGCGGCCGTTAAAACCAAAAGCCTCTGAAAAGAATCATCAGCAGCAGCAACCGGCAAAAAAAAAGGAAGAAGGGCAGGAGTTCCAACAACAGAGGCAGACTCAGCAGCAACCCCAGCGGGTGGAACAATGAGCTGCATCAGATGGAGGTGGAACAAAGAGCCCTCCAAAGTGCCTCCTCCAGTGGAAAAGAAGAGACACCAAAGCAATCCAGTCAGAAGGAGGACACTCAGAAACATCAGGGTCCCAATCCTTAAAGCATCCTTGAGTCAGGCGGATTCCCAAACTAAGAGCCTTTCCTCTTCCCCTCAAGGGTTTCGTCACCCTCCCTCAAAAAGAGGTGCAGGTTCTTTAGCCACCCCAGCCTGCACACCTCAACCCCACTGCAGACACCTACCCCTTCCAACCTCTCCCAGATAAAAGGAAAAAAAAAAAAAAGTTTTTTCCGGGTCCTGACCTAATCAACAACAGGTGGACCGGAAAGAACTGGAAAGGGATATGTCGGTGGACAGAAAGGCCAGACTGGGTCCTCTCTTTAAAATCACGACGATCGACGGGAATCTGGAGAGGATCCCCGAAATTTTCCGAACGTAGCCCCTGGGTGTCACGACTTGATAGGGACACGGAGGGAAAACTTAAAATCTGGTACTTTTGGAAAGTGCAGGAGGTGTTCCCAGAGATTAGAGTTCTGGAAACAGGAACACCTTCCCCTAAAAAAGATAGCACATTTCTGTGCAGGGCGGGTCCCTGTTCTCCTCCATCCCTCTGTATATAGGGCAGCAAAATTAACTTTTCCCTATGGACGTTGGCGGATTGTCCCAGATGGTCGGATGACGATGGGAGTTAGGCACTGGTAGCCTGGGACATTCCGTCAGGGGTCCTTTCAGGATACCATCGATTTCCGCTCCGTATGTGAGTAGGTTTTTTTGCTGTTTTATTTCTTTGCAGGCTTAGAAAATGGAAACCAAGTTAGCGACTCTGAATGTGAGGGGCTTAAGGGATCCAAAAAGGCCTGCCCGCCTACTCCGGGACCTTCTGTTTCTGGATGTGGATGTCGCCGCGATCGAAGAGAAATATTTTTGTTTGGCCGATGCGTGTGCTGGAGGATGACTTTGTTGTCTATTCAGCATATGGGGACCGGTTTGCCAGAGTATTTTCTTTGCTAGTCAGACGGACTCTTGATGGAAGGTGGACCTTGTGCATACCGATGCCGAGGCCGGTTGATCGACCCGATATTGCCGTTAAAAAGTGGTTCGTTCGAGTCGTTGCGGTTTATGCGCCCAATGACCAGGAGGAGCGGGTCTCGTTTTTTCGGCAGTTGGGGCTGTTCCCGTGGATTCAACGCGCCCTAGTTTTAATGGGGACTGGAATGCCATCCTGGACCCCAAGTTAGACAGGGCGAAGGGTGCTAGTGAGAGAAGGGACGATCGTAGCCTGGTTGATCTGATCGACGATTATGGTCTCGTCGATAGATACCGGATCGATCATCCCGGGGGAAAATGTGGACGTGGGCTCTTAGTTGGCCTTCTGACAAGGTGGTTAGCTACCTTGACAGAATGTTAGTTAGAAGAGCCGACATAGATCTATTAGATTGCCCTACGTTCCACTGGGTAGGCTACGCGGACCACAAACTCGTTTGTGCCGGGTGGCGTGGCGTTAGACCATAGGCCTAGAATGGCTTGGTGCTGGAAGTTCAATCTGTACTTACTGGACAGGCGGGACTTCCAGGAACAGCTAACTAGACTAGTGCAGCGGGAGCTAGTGAGGGCGGTTATCGGGAACAGGTGGTGCGAGAACCTTAAATGTAGGATTAGGTCTTTCAACGCTGATTTCAGCAAACGGCTCGTTCTAGATAGAGCTGATAAGGTGTAGACGCTTAAAGCTAGTTACACCCGGGCGGTGGCTGGGGGGATCCCCTAGAGATAGTTAGGGCGGCCCTGGATCGTTTGAATAGCGAGCGATACATGGGCCAGGTAATTAGACATAAGTTAAGCAAGATGTCTTCTGAAGCCGTGATCGTTACATTCGTGAAGTCAAGTCCCCTTTTCGGCCTTGTGCCACAATTCTGTAATTTTATAGAATAAATATTCTAGTTACACACATATATCAGAGGTGTTACTAGTTGTTTCTGTCCAGTTGTTGAGATAAGTCCGAGATTTGATTATTTTTTCTAACTCTTTTGTTTAAACCCTTTCTTACATTTTTCAGCTTGTTTTTTGTGTTTGTATATCTTTTTCAGTTTTTATATTTTGCGTTTGTATATTTTACATTTGGTTTTTGCCAAGACCCTCCCCCTCTTTTCTTTGTTCATTAATTTTGTTTGTTTTGTTTGTTTGTTTTGCTTATTTGCACCGGATCTCGGTCTGGTTTTCTTTATTTGATTTCGTTTTTGAATATGCTTGACTGTGTATTTTTCCTAAAAAGGACAAAAACCAAAAAAAAGAATCGGTTTCTCCGTCATAATAGTTTACTGTTATGGCGGAGTCAACACCAAACAATACACCGGATACGCAACCACCGGTGACAAAGGAAAAAACGGCCTGGAACGAAAGTAGGCCGAAAAAAGATGCAAATTACTACGCCGAATTAAGAATTAAAAACGAGGAATTCATAAAAAAATGAAATCCTCACTACAGAAGAAGCGTTGAACGCGGTAGATGTGAGAACTATATCCCTGCTGACGACCGACATTAAGAATCGGAACTTAATTGGCGTCAGTAGGGAAACGATGGAAGAAGCTATAAAGAATCTCAATATTGTTCCGAAAATCCCGGCGAGAAGATCAAGGGCAATGTGGGATTTACTAATGTCCTCAGAAGAAGAGGCCAAAACGCTGGCCGGCTGTGTGCTGACCTCGAAAACTCTAAGATTGCAAACTGAATACACAGTTCATGGGGTGCCCGTACACGTCTCAGAGGACCAGATAGGGGCATTTTTTGCCCAATATGGAAGTGTGGAGAAAGTGTCAGCAGTTATGAGTAAGACTGGAATCGCGACAGGGGACGTAATTGTGGAAATAACCCTGAACCCAAAAAACTTCAAAGACGTACATAACGTCATCCTGTGTCGCGACAGACGCATGCTGGTAGTGGTGGAGGGGCGTAAGCCTTACTGTTGGGTGTGTGGGGTGCTGGGGCACATTGCTAAGGCGTGTCCCGGCAAGAAGGTGACCCCGTAACCCTCTCAAGTGACAGTGACAGTAACAACGCCCACAGAACCCAGCAAGGCCCCAGGAGAGTGGATGGTTGTAGTAAACAAGGGACGTAAGCAAAAAACGGGTCCCGCGTCTCCGCAAAAGGACGTCCCACAGAAACAGCAACAACCTTCCAAGAAGAATTCGGTGCAGCAGCAGCAACAGATCCAACGGACTCCACAAAGTCCTGCTAAAGATGACAACAGCATGGAAGTGGAGGAAAGACCTCCAGCCCGGGTCTCTTCCTTAAAAAGGAGCCAGGAGGAAGAGGACGAAGAGGAGAAACCGCCCAAGCAGAAACACACGGAACCAAACAGTGGGGGAAAAATTAAGTCTGCCCCTGCCTCATCAGCAAATGAAGTAAAATACACTCCAGCTGAGAGGAGTCGTCCCCTCTCCCTGTCTCGTGTTCCACTCCCACCCAGCACGCCCACAACTCCTCAAACTCCAACTCCCTCAGCTCCTAATGTATCAACTCCCCAACCTTCCCTTTCTTCATCGGCTTCCACCCTACCACCCCCGGATGAGGGGAAAAAGAAAAAAAAAAAGACTGTTTAGCAAAGTGGAGGATATTTGCAAGGCTGATTAGGGGAAATTGGACAAAAACGTCTCCTCCCGCAAAAAATCCCTATTGGGCACTCTACTTAAGTTGACCTCTGTCGACGGCAAGTCTGTGGAAGACCCGAGAAACTTCCCGAAAGCTCCGGGGTTTATAGCCCTCGTTAGGGATACGGGAAAACAAATTAAAGTGTGGACCCACCTCTTCGAGGCATTTCCTGACATAACATTCCTGAGTGGAACTCGGATCTGATGACTTAATTAAGCTACATTGTTTTTGTTCGGCGAGGGTCCCAATATGTCTCCATCCCTCGTTATATAGAGCCTTAAAACTCACTTACCCCACGGACGTTGGCGGAATTGTCCCGGATGGTCGGATGACGACAGAGTTGGGCACAGGGAGCCAAAGACAATGCATCAGGGTCTTTTCACCCGCAGATTTTCGCCCTGTATGTGAGTAGGTTTATTCTGTGTTTTATATTTTACAGGGCTTAGAAGATGGCAATCAAGATAGCGACGTTGAATGTGAGGGGCTTAAGGGATCGGGGTAAGGCTGCCCGCCTGCTCCGGGACCTTTTGTCCCTGAATGTCGCCGCGATCGAAGAGACACACTTTGTTTGCAGTTCCGATGCGTATGTGCTGGAGGATGACTTTGTCGTCTGTTCAGCATATGGTGATAGGTTTGCCAGAAGTGTTTCTTTGCTGGTTAGACATACACTTGATGCGAAGGTGGACCTTGTGCATACCGATGCCGCGGGCCGGTTGATCTTGGCTGATATTGCCGTGAAAAGTGGTTCGTTCCGAGTCGTTGCGGTTTATGCGCCCAATGACCAGGAGATGCGGGTCTCGTTTTTTCGGCAGTTGGGGCCGTTCCTAGTGGATTCAAAGCGCCTAGTTTTAATGGGGGACTGGAATGCCATCTTGGACCCCAAGTTAGACAGGGGGCGGGGTGCTAGTGGGAGAAGGGGCGATCGTAGCCTGGTTGATCTGATCGACGATTATGGTCTCGTCGATAGATACCGGGTCAATCATTCTGGGGGGAAAATGTGAGCGTGAGCTCTTAATTGGCCGTCTGACAAGGTAATTAGCTACCTTGACAGAATGTTAGTTAGAAGAGCCGACATAGATCTATTAGATTGCACTACGTTCCACCGGGTAGGCTACGCGGACCACAAACTCGTTTGTGCCCGGGTGGCGTTAGATCATCGGCCTAGAATGGCTGGGCACTGGAAGTTCAATCTGTCTTTACTGGACTTCCAGGAACAGCTAACTAGATTAGTGCAGCGGAAGCTAGTGGGGGCGGTTATCGGGAATAAGTGGTGAGAGCGACTTCAGTGTAGGATTAGGTCCTTCACCTCTGATTTCAGCAAACGGCTCGCTCTAGATAGAGCTGATAAGGTGAAGACGCTTAAAGATCCCCTAGAGATAGCTAGAGAGGCCCTGGATCGTTTGAATAGCGAGCGGTACATGGGCCAGGTAATTAGACAT